ATCTATCTATCTATCTATCTATCTATCTATCTATCTATCTATCTATCTATCTATCTATCTATCTATCTATCTATCTATCTATCTATCTATCTGCATACCTCTGCCTTTTATGCCCCTTTTAGCTACTGTTAAGCTAAATAGCCTTTAGCTTCAGCTTTGCTAATTTTATTGTTTTGCTCATTTCAGCTTTTAGCAACAGTTTGGCTAACATTCGCTACAGTTTTGCTAATTTTAGCATTTAGCTGCTATTTTGCTATCTTTATCGTTTGGCTAATTCACTGTTCTGCTCGAATGAGCTTGTTGTAACATCTGCTTGTTTTAGCTTCACCATTTAAGTCTCTGCTTCTTCAGATTCACTGCAGCAGGACAGAAAATGCAGGTTTTTTTTTTTTTTGTTGTTGTTGACACTATTTTCTCTCACAAATTTGTGATTTACCAGTAGGTTTCTTCTTATTGTCCGTTTTGTTAAACTCTTTTCTACATCACTCCTGTCCATAATCACTTTCTGGATAATCTCTGCCGTCTTCCACGACATTAAGCCCTCAATCCACGGCTCCTCTGTGCTCTCTTTTCTTCGTTTCGTCCTCCTTCTGTTGGTCAGACTGTTCGCCTCCTCCAATCCCTGCAGTAACAGGATTGCTGGTTGTGACGCGGCCTGTGTGCCAGCACAGTGAATGAAGCTCAGCTGATTCCCATGGGGCTCTGAAAAGGGGTTTGAGAGTCACTCTCACACACTGAGCTCTTTCACTATATGATACCATTATAGAAAGTCACGTGTGGACCAGCACCCATGCTGTGCAGTCACATACATCCTTCCTCATCTAAACGGCCRTGGCTCCTCCCTGTCGTTCCTACATCTATCCTGGGCTGCTGTCCAGGGTCGGGGTGTCTGGCTCAGCCAAGGCCACCCCACCGGATCTGTGCCCGGGACACTGGACTCACACAGCAAACAAGACAGAGGCAGCATTATTCTCACAACGTGACTGAAGATGTGAAAGATGACTGCAGTTTACGACACGCAACAGGCTACGGAGCAGCGTTTTTTTAAAAATGGGATATAGAAGCCAGTGTATGGCCATGTACAGCTGCCAGCACGTCACTTGTTGAGAGCATGTGCGTGTTTGTTTAACTGTTGCTGCATTTCCTCATACGTGCAACCCACTTCGATTAAAGACAACCGCACTGCAAGATAAAAACAAAGAGTACATGTTTGATTTATTGCAAATCAGAGTTTAGTTGGGAAAYGGGCAGATCTACCAGGCATCTAATGACAGGCAGCACAATCATATCTAGTAACTAATCTTGATAGGATCTGCAGCTATAAAGAAATATTCAAATGCTGGAAAATACTTGACAAAAGCGGCAGTTATATATATTTAAATGCATTCTGACTTTGTCCTGATGCATCTCAGTAATCCAGGTAGAATAAATCAAAAAGAAAAAATCAGTAGGTCCTCTGGATGGGTTCTTCTTTAGTGAAAAGTTTCGTCTCTCCTCCAAGAAACTTCTTCAGTCTGAGGAGTTTCAGGTGAACTCAGCCTTATAAGCACTGCCTCCACATGGACAAACAGGTTAGTCATATGCAAAAGAGGGCCATCGCCTAACGATAGGCTTGATTAGCTCTATTGTTCATAGAGGGCCATCGCCTAACAATATGCTTAAACAATAGAACTAAGAAGGGTTGACAATAGAACTAATCAAGCCCATTGTTAGGCGACGGCCCTCTTTTGCATGTGATTAAATAGAGCTATTGTTAGACGATGGCCCTCTATGAACAATAGAGCTAATTAAGCCTATTGTTAGGCGATGGCCCTCTTTTGCATGTGACTAACCTGTTTGTCCACCATGTGGAGGCAGTGCTTATAAGGCTGAGTTCACCTGAAACTCATCAGACTGAAGAAGTCTCTTGGAGGAGAGATGAAACGTTTCACTAAAAAAGAACCCGTCCAGAGGACCTACTTTTTTTTTTTTTTGATTCTGACTTTGTGTCTCATGCTCTGTTTGTTTCCTCTCTCCTCCTTGGAGGCACAACAGTGACTTCATTCTGGGTAATCCACACTTGTCAGGAAAAAACCTTGAATCATACTTCATCTAAACCAAACAGAGCACTTTGTTTGTGGTGTCACTTTGGTGCAAGGCTGGCATTTTGTGAATCAAGCGTCGTTCGTACAGTATCTGCAACTCTTAAAAAAAAATAAATAAAGAAAAAAGCTGCAACCATGCAAATAAGAGCATTCTGTCTCCCGTCTGTCCGTCTGTCCTTCCAGATGGCGGGCCTGCAGGTGGGCAGAAAGATCTACACCATCAACGAGGACCTGCTGTTCCTGAGGCCGTTCTCAGAGGTCGACGCCATGATCAACCAGGCTTTCTGCATGCGACGCTCTCTGCGGCTGCTGGTCGCCACCAAAGCCAAGGAGTGAGGCAGCGCGTGCAGTCCAGCAAACAGATAATGGTAAACACGAAGCAAGAGGCCGTTCTGACTTGTCTTTCCACCTCCAGGATCATAAAGATCCCCGACAACCCCGACAGCCTCTCCTTCAGACTCTTGGGATCGGCGCCGCCTCACGTCCACGCAGTCAGAAAAGGTGAGAGAACCATTTAACAACCTTCTACACCACAACGGTTGACCTCGTTATAGGGGCTGAATCTTTTAAGGATGCTTAGGATACGAATTTATGACAAATATATTGCTCACTGCCTTTCCTGCCAGAGATTTGACTAAAATATTCTTGTAGGCATCGAAATGAAATGTGCAGAGCTCAGTATGTGTTGTGAAGGATGCTAAGCTACTACTACACAGATTTAAACTCAGTATCTGTAAAATTAACTAGGTTGGAGCTATTTCTGTTGAGTGTCCTGATGCATCTCAGTAATCCAAGAAGAAAAAATATCAAAAAGAAAAAAAAAAGTAGGTCCTCTGGATGGGTTCTTCTTTAGTGAAACGTTTCGTCTCTCCTCCAAGAGACTTCTTCAGTCTGATGAGTTTCAGGTGAACTCAGCCTTATAAGCACTGCCTCCACATGGACAAACAGGTTAGTCACATGCAAAAGAGGGCCATCGCCTAACAATAGGCTTGATTAGCTCTATTCAGTCACATGCAAAAGAGGACCATCGCCTATTAAGCGATGGTCCTCTTTTGCATGTGACTAACCTGTTTGTCCACCACGTGGAGGCAGTGCTTATAAGGCTGAGTTCACCTGAAACTCATCAGACTGAAGAAGTCTCTAGGAGGAGAGACGAAAAGTTTCACTAAAGAAGAACCCATCCAGAGGACCTACTTATTTTTTCTTTTTGATATTTCTGTTGAGCTTATTCACTTGTAGGTCAACATCTGATGTTTATTTTTGCAGAGTCTCACTAAAAGAGAGGTGCTTTAGTTTTCAAGGATTCAAGGAAATTTTATTGTAAAATTATAAAAACAAACAGTAACAGTCAAATAATTATCAACGTTGTTTTGTAACACAAATTAGAATAAATGCAAAAATAATGATAATAATTCCCCTTAAAGAGTTTCTGTTGAAACAGAAGAAGGAACTGAAACATTCAGCATCATCATTTACTTGGAAAAAGTACTTAATGCGTTTTATTGAGAAAAATTATTTCAATATCTTTTATTTATTCCATCAACTGGTGACTCATTTCATATACTAAGCCTTCAAAGAAGTTGCACTTGTTTTTTTATATATTCGTCAACATATGTTTAGAATTTTACTCAGTTTTAAGCAGCCATAAATATATTTAGTTCCTCATCATTAGTAAATGTGTTACATAAATATCCTCCAAAATTCTGCGTGACTTTTAAAAAAGATGAAGTAATTCTAACTTCTCACCTCCCGTTAAACTCCTTTTATTGGGGTTTTACGGCCACCTGTTGGCCAGACGCTTTGCAGTCAGGGTTCAAACCCCTGACAGAAAAACTTGACTTCAGAACAATTTTTAAAATAATCATTACAAGCTGCATGTGTGCTCTGTGATCAGCGCTACAGAGCAGGTTTGGGTGAAAAAAAAAAACAGAAAATGTATTAGATTAAAAAAAAGAATGTTCTCGTTCCTCCTACTTTATTCTATTCCTTACCATATGTTTTTTTAATTCTAAGACTTTAAATAGAATACAGAGATTTACGTGTTTGACAAGATAAATGGTGGATAAAGTTCTGTGCAAACCAGACGGAGGCAGAAGAACAAACGTGTTAAAAAGAGGAGTCACTGAACAGAGCAGTGAAGGAATGTGATATCTAGGTTTTACTTTTCTGTATTCTGGTTTCTCCCTCTTGTTCACATCTCTCTCTGCTCTGCTTCTCAGTTTCTCTCGTTTTTTGTTTTTTTTTTTGTAATTTATTACGTCAATTCTGGCTTTCATTTGGTGTCTAAGGTGTGGTTTTTCCTCCTAAGTTCAAAGCAAAGTGTCTTAATTTTTCTGTGCTGGTGAAACATTAGTCCAGTGGCCCCGGAGCTGTGTAAGCACTGGCACCCTGCGTGGAAATGATGCCACGGCGAGTATTTTTAGTTTGGGCAGGAAGATGATGGAGGCGTTGATTGAGCTTTCAGGCTGTAAAGCAATTTGAACCTTCAGACGGCAAGTTATGACACTGAACGCTGGGAATTACTGCTCCGCTCAAATAAACACAATCACACTTTTGTGCAGATATGTAAATTATTGCTGGACTCCAAAGGCAAAAGGATGGTCATGTTTTTATCTGTGTGTACTTACTGACCTTAGRAAACACAAAAATGGCTARAACACTGTTGGTTTTTCAGATAAAATTAAACATGGGTATGGTAGTAACTGAGAGTCATCATGTACATGTATGTATTTTTGAGTAACACATATTGCATCTTGGTCTAAAACTTTGACATTATCGGTTACAATCAGCCCTGTTGGTCTGCTAGCAAAATGTGACACAAACCGCTATTTGTATTGAACTTAAAAATTAATCATTGTTTACACAATTACAACTTTTTTGTGGCTACGAATTTGTCAAACTGACGTATATTCGATACTATTATCTTAAGGGAATGAAGATCTATGTGAAACCTAGGCTTCAAACCAGTTTAAAGGAGAGGAGTACTTTAATACAAAGAATAAGACTGTGTGTGGAGTAAACTAAAGCATGATGCTAAAACTGCTGGATCAATTTGTATGTTTTAGAGAATGCTAAAGGCTAGTTTTTTTTTTATTTAAAAAAAGGTATAGTATAATGTGTATTCACTTGTACGGAGCCTGCAAGGGGACATGGGGGGATTTTTTTTTCTTTTGCGTTCCCTCACAATATTTTTGCGTTCCCATGCAAATGTTTGTTTCGTTTGAACTGAATGAAATCAGACTTTTATTTTGAAATATCTGGTCACTGAAAAAGGATGTGTCGCCACAAGTTTGGGAAATTGACGTTGATATTGCGTGGCTGCACTGAGTTAAAATATCTGCATGTTAAATCCTCATGCGTGTGGCTGTGATACATTCAATCCAAAGCTGAATTAAAGTAGTGGGCCAACTCCTGAATTATGGTGAGCATGTGATATTTTTAATAAACCTGCAGCCACAACAGTGATAAACAACTTTTGCGAAGTAAAACATACAAAATAAATAAATAAAAAATAGTAATATATATATATT